ACACATTCGAAGAACGTAATACTTCAAGTCTGAGGATCGTTATACCAATAGTCGCATTAAGGACACTTAGAGCATAGACTAAAAGTCTAGGCAATGCCCTTAAGGTGGGTCAGGTCTGGCATCCTATTATTAACGATAATATCTGCCCGAGAGTAGATGCGAACACTCCGTCATTGACCAAGAGACTAGGTCAAACATCTAACTCTCACTAGTCTCACACGCATTAACGATATCCTGCTCTCGTTAATGCTTCGACTATAGACCGTTCAGAATTATACTAAGTGACAAGATGTCAGTCTCAACATCAGAAGACTCATTCTGATAAACATCTTATAACATAATTCTAGGAATGCAATTAAGAGTTTACATTAGCATGAGATGTTTGTAAACTTAATGCATCTGCCTTTACATGATAGAAAATATCTAAGATATTACAACAGCAGTTGGCCATAAGGGCACCAACTCCAACAAAGACTTGAAGTTGCATTACTTGAAGTATTCAAAAAGGTGCACATGATTTTATTGAAGTCCGAGACGCGTTCGGGACACCTAACGGAGGACTCGGAGGAGTAGAAGATTTCCGAAGACTTTTTATTTTATTTTATTTTATTTTATTTTATTTTATTTTTTTATTTTTTTTTAAATCCCAGCGGGCAAACCACCAAACTCGGTGGGGTAAGGTCTAGGCAACCCTTACCAGCTATTATTAAGAAAGCATGAGGATACAAAAGGAGGGGATGACCAAACCGAGGCCTAAAGCCAGCCCCTCATACGGAAGACAAACCTTCCGGGGGAACAAACCTCAAAAGTAAGGGGTAAGGGAACCTAGAAAAAGGCTTGACCAAGGCCATAAGAAGGTCCTAACTAGCAACAAAACCACTATACTACGGCATGACCAATGCCACATACGGTCCTAACAACAAAACAACACAACAAGTCCAAACGAAGCACAATGGCCAAAGAGCACAGCCTTGCAATCAGGTACTTCAAAAGGGTAGGACCACACTCACACCGGAGCAAAACAGCCAAGCCAACGGCTGGTCCTACCCAACTACACAAAACCATACCCACCAAGACTAGAAGAAAATAAATAAAATTCTTCATAGTCATGGCAAACGTAATGGTTTTTATATAGCTGTAAAGATTCTTCACAGAATAATGCTCCATACAAAGCCACCAAATAGAACCACCAACATAACCATAATTCACAAGAGCATACCACCATAAAAGAGAGAGAACATAACAAGGAATAAAAATGTCCTCCTGATAATCCCAAATGTAGTCAACAGCAAGCGTTATGAAAACAATGGAGTAAAGAATAGCCCACCAAGTAGGCCAGACCAAAACACAGAAGGGGCTAACGGAGGGGATCATCCTTACCAGGTTTAGCACTGGTTGAGGCATAACTGGGAAATTGTCTAAGATCCAATTGATGTAACTTTTGTGCTTCAAGGGGCAGGTCAAAGACAGAGAAAAACTGAAAGGAGTGTGACTGATTACAGCTCCATGTCACCAAGAAATGAGGCAGTCTGTTTACTTGCTTCTCACACACCTCAAAGGAGCTCTTAACACAAGAGAGAAGAAAGTGAAACTTTCTTAAATAGTCACCTTGCTCCGGGTTAATCCCAAGTTGAAGGAAGGGAACCTCCCCTTCATCAGTCTCAATGATAATGCTTCTGAAGCCATGCACCAGTCCCCAACTTAGAACTTGGACTCCAACTTCCAAATAGACCATGTACTTTGGTTTAGGGCTGGAAGAAGCATAACCAAAAAGGAATTCCCCTTTGCTATTCCTTAGGACAGCAGCTGCAGCAGTTTGATGAGGAAATTGTCCTCCAGCAAGGTTAAGTTTAACAGATTCTCCCTCAGGATATTGCCAACAAACCTTTTTGATCATAAAGGATTTTTTATTTTATTGAGTCGTAGGAATATTTGTAAGGATGACAAAAATATCTTCTCTCCAAAATTATTTTTATGAGAGTTAAAATAAAAATTACGGAGTATATTTATTTTTGGAGTCAATTGAAAAATCCTTTTAATTGTTCAAAATACATTTATTGAGTCAGTTACAAAAAGTGTGTCAAACATTTATCAAAATATTTATTTTGATATTAGAAAATATTTTTTCAAAACAAAAATATTTTATTCAAATATTTTCGTGTTCATCGTTTGACACACAAAATAATTTTTGGACTCACTTTTACTCCTTTATTCAAATTCTTTGAATAGAGAGGAGGAGCTTCTCTGATTCCCATTGTCTCAAACAACGAGTGTTATGCCAATTCTGCTCTCAATCGCAACTGGCTTGGACCCTTTGTGTTTGCACCATTATTCCTTTTGTAATCAATTAAATTTCTTAAATTAATCGATTAATTTTCCATGACTATCGAGGGACCGCCTGAGCTTTTGATCTAATCGATTTTTACCTTTGCTTTAATCGATTAGTTTACTCAGATCCTTCTAATCGATTAGTCCCTTTGCATTAATCGATTATTGGCACTGCATTAATCGATTATTATGCTGCATTTTTCATCACTGCATCTTTTCTTGGACCAATGGATATATTTCTTCACCTCCTATTTAAACACCCTCCCTTGGTCATTTTTCTTAACAAGAAACACTTTAATACTCCCCATTCTTGAGGTTATAATCCTCCATTCAATTCTTTCTCAACTTGATATATTTTGAGAGAAAACTAAGTGTTTTCAAGAGAGTGTTTTGTCATTCATTAGAGCTTTAATCATTTCTCATTTCTACTCTTTTGAGAGCTATTATATATTAAGAGGTTGAAGAAGTTTGTTCTTCTTGTTGTTCAAGACTTATGTCACTTAAGTCTTGGTTGTGAAGTCTTGTAGAGGGCATATCTACGAGCAATTGTGACGAGGCTTGTGGGATTCAAGTTCTCGAGCCAAGTGCTACGGCTGTGGCGAGATTGGCCACATCAAGCCAAGGTGTCCAAAAGCCAAACACGGCAAGGATAAGCCTGGCTTCAAGAAGCAAAGGGCTTACATCTCTTGGGGTGGTGACTCCGGCGACTAGTCAACTGACCAAGAAGAGGAGGAAGCCGCCAACCTCTGCCTCATGGCGCACGAAGATCAAAACGACGACGTCCAAGAGGTATGTACCATTTCTTCCGACTCTTATACTTTTGAAGAAATGCAAGAAGCACTTCATGAACTTTATGAGGAATTCGTTGGCGCTTCTAAAACAAATAAATCTTTGAAGAAACGTCTTTCTTCACTTGAAAACGATTTTGAAAAATTTGAAAAAGAAAATGAAATACTTAAACAAGAAAACAAATTTTTTGGAAAAAGAAGCGCTGTCAAGAAATTTGAGAGCACGGTCAAGAAATTTAATACTCCTCACAAAGACTTAAATTTACTTCTTGACACTATGCATTTTTCTAAGGAAGGAATAGGTTTTGATAAAAATGAAGCTAAAGATAATGTTGAGCCACCATCTAGACAATCATCAAAGGTTCAACATAAGAAACCTAAAAATCAAGATAATAGAAAACCTAGTCAATCTAAGGACACTAGACAACCTAGACTAAAACCTAGGAATGAAAATGGTCATGGTAGACAAACTAAGAAAAATGATTTTGTGCATAAAAACGAATTTTCTCAAATTAGGAGAAATAATGCTAGAACACCTAGAAAAGGCCAGTTTCAAAATTTTCAAAAACCATTGTTTTCACAAAATAGGAACAAAATGGTTAAACCCTCTAACTATTATGAACCTAGGCACATGTACAACCCCAACGTAGTTTGTCATTATTGTAATAGGATAGGCCATATTGCTCCCGTTTGCTACACTAGGCATAGGCACCTATCACAAAATCAAGCACACTACCATCACACACCTAACACCTGAGGACCCAACGTAAATTGGGTACCTAAAACTCATTGATGTGTTTCATAGGTGTGCTTGAAGGCATCAAGTGTACTTTGGTACCTTGATAGCGGATGCTCCAAGCACATGACCGGGGATGCATCCAAGTTTCTCCAAATTAAACCCGCTAAAGGAGGAAACATGATTTTTGGAGATAATAGCAAGGGAAAGATTATCGGCATTGGTTCAGTAGGTAAATCTGAAAACTCCTCTATAGATAATGTTTTGCTTGTTAAAGGTCTTAAACACAATCTCTTGAGCATAAGTCAATTATGTGACAAGGGAAACCGTGTGACCTTCGATTCAAAATCATGCACGGTAGAACGCCTTAGTGACAATAAGGTCATTCTACGTGGTGATAGAATCGATAACATTTATATGGTTAACTTAGACAAATCTCCCTCCGGCTTTGCTAAGTGCCTCATGAGTAAAGAGGAAGACACTTGGTTATGGCACCCAAGGGTAGCTCATATGAACATGAACCTTTTGAACAAATTGGTTTCACAAGACTTAGTAATTGGCATTCCGAAACTTAAGTTTGAAAAAGACACCATATGTGATGCGTGTCAAAAGGGGAAGCAAGTTAGGGCCTCGTTTAAGTATAAGAACGTTGTTTCAACGTCTAGACCACTTCAACTTTTGCACATGGATCTCTTTGGTCCTTCTAGAACGAAAAGTTTTGATGACTACTCTAGGTTTACATGGACCTTGTTTCTAACTCATAAAAGTGAGGCATTTCATGTTTTCAAAAATTTTCTAAAGAAAGTTCAAAATGAAAAAGAAACAACCATAGTAGCCATAAGAAGCGACCATGGGGGAGAGTTCAAACGAAATCAGTTTTCAGATTTGTGTGACGAACATGGCATTGATCATAACTTCTCAGCCCCACGTACACCACAACAAAATGGAGTGGTGGAACGTAAAAATAGATGTCTCGAAGAGATGGCCAGAACTATAATCAATGAGGCAAAAATTCCTAAGTATTTTTGGGCGGATGCCGTGAGTACCGCGAGCTACGTGTTAAACCGAGCCGTCATTCGACCGATACTCATGAAAATGCCCTATGAATTATACAAAGGAAGAAAGCCAAACCTTTCCCATCTTCGAGTCTTTGGTTGCAAATGTTTTATTCATAATAACGGCAAAGATAACTTGGGAAAATTTGATGCCAAGTCGGACGAAGGGATTTTTCTTGGTTATTCTCTACGTAGCAAGGCCTATAGAGTGTTTAATAAACGTACCTTGACTATTGAGGAGTCTCCTCATGTTGTGTTTTCCAAAGATAATACTCGCTTGGCGAGAAAGGGTATTTGTGATGATCTTGCAGATTCACTCGAAATATTACACGTTGAAGACGATGAAGAAGACACGCCATTATACACCAACCCGCAACCACAACCTAAGGAAACACCACAAGTGACGGTCGAAAATGAGGACCAAGCAGACGAAGAAGAACAAGAGGAAGCCCAGGAACAAGAGGAAACCGAGCTTCCCATCGCTTGGAGAACGCACAGGAACCATCCACTTGACCAGGTAATCGGCAGCATCAACCGCGGGGTAAGTACTCGTAACTCTCTTAGGGACACCGTAGGTCACATGGCTTTTGTCTCTCAAATTGAACCTACAACCATTTCTGAAGCAATAAACGATGAACATTGGACCTTGGCTATACAAGAGGAGCTAAACCAATTCAAACAGAACGACATTTGGGAATTGGTGCCAAGGCCCGATGATCGTACGATTATTGGTACGAAATGGGTGTTCCGTAAAAAACTTGACGAAAATGGAATAATCACTAGAAACAAAGCTAGGCTCGTAGCTAAAGACTACAATCAAGAAGAAGGCATTGATTTTGAAGAAACCTATGCACCCGTAGCACGTTTAGAAGCTATTCGTTTACTTCTTGCTTTTGGTTCGTCTATGGATTTTAAACATTATCAAATGGATGTTAAGAGTGCCTTCCTCAATGGTTTTATTCAAGAGGAAGTGTATGTTCACCAGCCCCCGGGGTTTGAAGACTTTGAGTTTCCCGATTATGTCTTCAAACTCAAGAAAGCGCTCTACGGTCTTAAACAAGCACCCCGTGCTTGGTACGAACGTTTGAGTAAATTTCTTTTAGATAGTGGTTTCCAAAGGGGAAAGGTAGACACCACACTTTTTATCAAGAGTAAAAACAATAACATCCTTTTGGTTCTAGTTTAAGTAGACGATATTTGACGAACTGCGTATAGCGGTAAGTCAACAAATAACCGAGTTAGACTCGGGTCGTTCTCTCCAGGAGTGATGAAGGGAATAGTTAGTTTTATTATTTATCACAGATAAATTTATAGTCTAAGAAACGTGAAATAATAAGAAATAAAGCGTCTAAAATAAATGATAAAATAACTTGAGGAGTTAAGATCGGAATGTGGACTTAACACACAATCAATAATTTAGAAACAGGTATGAATCGAACAAGTATATGGGCTAAGATAATAATTTTAGATTAAATTAGCTTCTTAATTAATTTGATTTTATATCATTAACTTATTCAATTTTCAGGCCTCATTAATGTGTCTAAATATGGTTGGCTAGATTATTTTTCTTAACTCATAGACAAGTTAGATAAATAATCTCCAAAGAGTAATTAATAAATTGGCCAGATCTCTTAATTAATGAATCTCATTTTAGACAATTGAATCAAATTAATCAAGTTACTAATTTAATTTTAATTACTAATCATTAGCCCATACCTTTAATTCAATTCATACCTAAGTATAAATTTAGCCACTAAAAGCCATAAGTACACAATTTAAACTAAGCAATAAAAGATAATTTTATTAATAAAGGAAGAGTAAACAAGAAAGCTTACAGATCTTGAAGAACGGAATACAAATCGCACAAATCTTCAGATCAACACTATTTAGTACATTATTTATAAGTAAAAAATGAAGATTTTTGCCCCAAAAAGGGGAAGAACCGATTGGGGAAGCCTTAAAAAGGGAGGATCCGCGCTGGCCATTTATAGGAGAGGATCACCGACCGGCGAGCAGACCGGCGGTCGCCGGCCAGCCCGCCGGCGCCGCTGAAGAACTCTCCAGAATCGCTGGAATCCCTGGTCGCCGTCGACAGGCGGGCAGGAAGGCGGTCGCCTGTCAGCCTGCTGGCGCTCTCCATCGCTGCCAGATCTGCTTCTCGCCGCCGCCGCCATCCTGACCGGCGGCCAGGTAGGCTGCCGCCGGCCAGGCCGCCTACTGTGCCGCCCTAGTCCGTCGATGCTATTCTGCTTAAAATCTCGTTCTGAACACTTTTTCCTTCTGCACCGACTTCTAATTCCGCACCGTTTGTGAGATAGAATTGTTTTTCTATTAAAATTTTCTCTTTTTATTCCATTCTTGGCCAAATTTTACATATTACTTCAAAAGTATTCTGTTTATGATCAATTTATCAAAACATATGTTTTTGATAAAAAAGAATAAATAATTTATTGTTTTGATAATAAAAATGGTACAAGAACAAATTAAATATGAGTAAAAAGATAAGTACAAAACGGACTTATCAATCTCCTCACACTTAAACGTTGCTTGCCCTCAAGCAACTCATCATCTACCAAAACAAGAATAAAGAAGATTGTTTGATTATATTCTAAGATCCTATTTCCTTGCAATAATCAGTTAATTTCATTAGCATTAATTACTTCATTTTTTTCTTTATATTCCAAGAACTAAATATCTCATCACTCGTTTCAAAAATTTGACAATGAACTTATTTAAAAGTTTGCGTGAGTAAGTTTTTCTTCCGAGATCCCCTAAGGTCAGTAATTAATAACGATTCGTAGCCTCTTGGTCCACTTATCTCAATTAATTAACTTAAATTTTTTTTTTTGTGAGTTATCCCATAATGCCCTTTTTATTGCTTTCTTGAGCGTAATTGTTCCAATTGTTTGCGCTTATTGAGTATCCTATCTCCTTTGGGTTGTGGATTTATCCCATTACTTATGCATACTTGCTCCCTCGCCTTATGCGATTCACGGGAGAAGCAGAGCTCCTTTCGGAGATAGGATTCCCAATTCGTCACTGAAGCGCAACCCTCACAATTATCTTTGTTTATTTATTTCAATTAAAGAGAAAGTGACCAAAAGACTTATAATCGTTATGTAATTAACAACCTTAAGTTACTCAACTAAACCCAACTCATGCACAATTTTAAATAAAAGTTCATTGTTAAACTTAGAAATGAGTAAATGATTATTTAATTTATTAGAGAAAAACAGAAAAATGTAAAGTAATTGAAAACTAAATTCATTAACTGATTATTGAGCAAGAAAATAACTTTCTAGAATATAATCATACCTGATATTCTACCTCCTCACACTTAAGCTGGACCTCGTCCTCGAGATCCAAATGCGGGATGCGAGTAGAAAAATCAAAGCATGTCAATCTTCCTCACACTTAGTGTGAAGCATATGATGAGAGGCAAGATTTTAATGATCATAAAAAAGTTAAAAATTTGGCCAAGATTAGAAATAAAAAGCTATTTTTAATAGAAAATTATTTTATGCATTAAAACACGTTTTGGTGCGAAAACTACAAGGCTCATAGTGATGGCTTCCGTTCATTTTCCCTGCAAAAGAAAAGAACAAAACAAAGGAAAAAACAACAAGTGCACAGCGTGTGAAAGTGTGAACAAGAACTATTGCTAATTTATTATTATTATTATTATTATTATTATTATTATTATTATTATTATTATTATTATTATTATTATTATTATTATTATTATTATTATTATTATTATTATTATGACGGGTTGCCTCCCGTTAAGCGCTAATTTAACGTCATTAGCTTGACGCCATTATTCTTAAACTTGGTAAAACAAACATATCTAACGGAGCACTCTCCTCGAAAGTCTCCAACTTTTTCCGAATAATCGTCGTAAGGTGGCGCAGACCTAGATATTCATGAAGCCAAGAAATAGTGAAAATCTTATAAAAAGAACTGATCACCCCCAAGCATAAAAGATATTCTGATAAAGTTAAAGGCTTGGGGATGCTCGACTTCACGAAAAGTGGTTCAAAGAGACCCTCTTTTTGTGGAAAAATCTTCGGTGACTCAAGGTCTCTTTGAATGAGTTTTTCTAAGGGACTCTCTTCAAGATATACATTCTTGTCAAATTCAATAGAACCCCCTAAATGATTAATGCCCTCGGACTTTTGCAAAAAATCTACCTTAAGCTCACTCTTATGTTCTCCATTTTCTTTCTTTAGAGACGAACAAACAGGTCCTTGATCGTCTATATTCTCTTCTACACTTGGAGAAACATTAGAGTTTTCCTCGGGCATTACTCCCTCCAACCCATTATTGTGATTTTCATTATTTACTCGAACAAGAATACCTTTATCAAGTAAGTTTTTCAATGTTTCTTGATATTCATTTTCAAAATCAGCCCAAAGATTTTCTTGTCGAGATAATATTCATTTTCATCAAATTCCTCATCTTGAGGTGGTTGGCCTAAAGAAGGTGTTCCTTCTTGCACTATGTTTGAATCAACAATTTTATCCACCTCAATTTCTTCATCCTCGGATTCAACAACTAACTGTTCATTTTGATGAATTTTATTAGATTCATTAGGGTTGAATTCTAATAATTCATAGAGATTTCCAATTTCCTTGAGAATATCATCTTTTTCATTATTGAAAATCTCTAGATTCGAATCAGGGTTTAAAGAAGAATAAGGAAAGGTATAACAAATATCACCTTCTTCATTTACTAAACCCTTCTTTTTAAGGAATTCATCAAAATCAAGGTTAGTTTATCTCTTTAATTCTATTTGCCCAATTAATTTTCTTATAATGCGATCCATATCATTTTTTATTGATTTTAATTCATTGCTAATCGCATCAAAATTATTAATAGGGCAAAATGAGGAATAAGGAGAGGAATAATTCTCTTGATAATCAAAGTTATTGTAATTATCCTCCTGCTCATATTTATTTTCATCAAAGAATCTAGAGGGATTATTATAATAATTTTGATTATCATAAAAATCACAATAATTATTTCGATAATTTGGTAAATGATCAAAATTATTATAATTTCTCCCATGATCATAATCATCAAAATAATTATTATTCATAAGAGAATTGTAATGCCAGTTGTTTTCAAAATCTTGATCATTACCAAAATTATCTTGTGAACAACCAAAATTACCATTATCATAATTATTCCACCTATTACCATTAAATTGATAATCATTCTCAATCATAGGTGGATTTTCATAAAAACTATTTTCATAATGGTAATCTTCGTTATAATCATTAGAAAAATTATTTTCACAATATGGGTATGGCGGGTAATCATTAGAATGAGAATTATAAAAATTATTGAAACGACTCATAAAAATGTAAATAAGGAAAAAAACAAATAAATCGAGTAAACTAAAAATTTTCCTATGAAAATAGAAAAACTAACTAAACCGTGCCACTCCCCGGTAACGGCGCCATTTGACGAACTGCGTATAGCGGTAAGTCAACAAATAACCGAGTTAGACTCGGGTCGTTCTCTCCAGGAGTGACGAAGGGAATAGTTAGTTTTATTATTTATCACAGATAAATTTATAGTCTAAGAAACGTGAAATAATAAGAAATAAAGCGTCTAAAATAAATGATAAAATAACTTGAGGAGTTAAGATCAGAATGTGGACTTAACACACAATCAATAATTTAGAAACAGGTATGAATCGAACAAGTATATGGGCTAAGATAATAATTTTAGATTAAATTAGCTTCTTAATTAATTTGATTTTAGATAACTTATCCATTTTTCAGGCCTCATTAATGTGTCTAAATATGGTTGGCTAGATTATTTTTCTTAACTCATAGACAAGTTAGATAAATAATCTCCAAAGAGTAATTAATAAATTGGCCAGATCTATTAATTAGTGAATCTCATTTTAGACAATTGAATCAAATTAATCAAGTTACTAACTTAATTTTAATTACTAATCATTACCCCATACCTTTAATTCAATTCATACCTAAGTATAAATTTAGCCACTAAAAGCCATAAGTACAAATTTTAAACTAAGCAATAAAAGATAATTTTATTAATAAAGGAAGAGTAAACAAGAAAGCTTACAGATCTTGAAGAACGGAATACAAATCGCACAAATCTTCAGATCAACACTATTTAGTACATTATTTATAAGTAAAAAATGAAGATTTTTGCCCCAAAAAGGGGAAGAACCGATTGGGGAAGCCTTAAAAAGGGAGGATCCGCGCTGGCCATTTATAGGAGAGGATCACCGACCGGCGAGCACACCGGCGGCCGCCGGCCAGCCTGCCGGCGCCGCTGAAGAACTCTCCTGAATCGCCGGAATCCCTGGTCGCCGTCGACAGGCGGGCAGGCACGCGGTCGCCTGTCAGCCCGCCGGCGCTCTTCATCGCTGCCAGATCTGCTTCTCGCATCCGCCGCCATCCTGACCGGCGGCCAGGTAGGCTGCCGCCGGCCAGGCCGCCTACTGTGCCGCCCTAGTCCGCCGATGCTATCCTGCTTAAAATCTCGTTCTGAACACTTTTTCCTTCTGCACCGACTTCTAATTCCGCACCGTTTGTGAGATAGAATTGTTTTTCTATTAAAATTTACTCTTTTTATTCCATTCTTGGCCCAATTTTACATATTACTTCAAAAGTATTCTGTTTATGATCAATTTATCAAAACATATGTTTTTGATAAAAAAGAATAAATAATTTATTGTTTTGATAATAAAAATGGTACAAGAACAAATTAAATATGGGTAAAATTATAAGTACAAAACGGACTTATCAATATTATATTCGGTGCTACTAACGAGTCTTTGTGCAAGGAATTCTCAACGCGAATGACTAGCGAATTTGAAATGTCAATGATGGGCGAGCTCACATTCTTTTTGGGACTCCAAGTCAAGCAAATGAAAGATGGCACGTTCATTTGCCAAGCTAAATTTTGCAAGGAGCTCCTAAAACGATTTGAAATGGACAACGCCAAAGCCATGGCGACCCCGATGAGCACGTCTGACCATCTTGACAAAGACGAGAAAGGTAAGGAAGTAGAAGTCAAAAAGTATCGAGGTATGATCGGATCCCTTCTTTATCTTACTACTAGTAGGCCGGATATCATGTTTAGCGTCTGCCTTTGCGCAAGGTATCAATCGTATCCGAAGGAATCGCACTTAATGGCGGTAAAACGGATTATGAAATACCCTGCCGGCACGGTTAACGTTGGACTGTGGTATCCAAAAGGCTCTTCTTGTCATCTCGTTGGCTATTCCGACTCGGACTTTGCCGGTTGCAAATTGGACCGTAAAAGTACGAGTGGGACTTGCCACTTACTTGGTAGCTCTTTAGTTACATGGTTTAGCAAAAAACAAGTCAGTGTAGCCGCCGGTAGTTGTTGTGCTCAAATCCTTTGAATGAAGCAACAACTAGTGGACTATGGCCTTAGTATCAATCACGTCCCTCTTCATTGTGATAATACTAGCGCCATAAGCTTGACGAAGAACCCCGTTCTTCACTCAAGGACGAAACAAATTGACATTAGGCATCATTTCATTAGAGATCACGTTCTCAAAGGTGATGTCGAAATTGAGTTTGTTAAAACACACAACCAATTAGCCGACATTTTCACAAAACCTTTAGAGAAAGAGTCGTTCTTTTGCATTCGAAGTGAACTCCGAATCCTTGACTCCACGATGATCTAAGTTGTGCATCTAAACTTATTAAACGTTTACTAACTTGAGCGTCGGAGAACCTTTTTTTTTTTGCAGGTACCCCGTTCATGAAATCAGGGGGAACCATGCAAACAGCGCTGTCCAGGAGACCGAACAGCGCTGTTGAGAGAAACACCGTCAACCAGAAAGTTTGCCAACAGCGCTGTATAACAAGCTAACAACGCTGTCCCAGGGAGTCCCTTAATCTTCACTTTCCAAAAATTTTTTGAACATCGATGTTCCTTTTAAAACATCGCTGTCTACCCAAAACAATTTGTTTTCAACCAAAACTTGAAACTTTTTAAACAGCGATGTCTCATTTTCAACATTGATGTCCTTTTTTACAATTTTTTCTTCTTTCGCACAACAGCGATGTAGAGAAACCCAACAGTGCTGTTCTAATGGGTTCACACCCTTACACAATTCCAAAAACTTTTAGAACATCGCTGTAGGGTACCCAACATCGCTGTCCTTTTGACTCCTATTTTTTTAAAACTTGACGCAGAATAGCGATGTACAAGGCACAACAGCGCTGTCCCAACAGCGATGTCGCCTGTAGAACATCACTGTTCTGGCCAAATTTTTCAAAAAAATATATCCGTTGCACCAGCATTTATTGCTCCAACAGCCATATTTTTTGAAATTCTAGACGTTGGAGGCCTCCTATCCTATAAATTGGAGCCTCCTCTCCTCACTTTTACACACACAATCACAATTCCCCTCAATATCTTTTCTTATTTCATCTTCTCTTCTTGTCTCTTTTGAATTATTTTTCTCCATCATGGGCAAAGACAAGAGCAGGGCAGGAGCTTCCGCCAAATCCAAAGCCAAATCCCTGGCGCCTACGACATCCTCCAAGGAGCGCCTCTACTACGGCGACGGATCGTACCTCTGGTTCGATTCTGAGGAGGAGCGCACCCGCTTTCTCACCTTCTTCTCTAAACGGGTTGTGGCTCCCCCACGGATCATCCCGGAGCGCTACCCGGAGCTGCAGGGCTTCGACGACCTAGACGCGCAGCTTCTTCAAGCCAGCCTTTGGCCGTTCGTCTCCCGGGCGCGAAAGGGGATCAACCCGGCGTTGATCCGGGCCTTCTACTCCAACCTCCGGCGTGAGGACGACGTGCTCTACTCGCGTGTCAAGAGCATGCCGATCGAGCTCACCGTGGAGCAGCTTGGGCGCATCGCCGGCCTCCCCTTCCAAGGCGAAGACGTCTCCCACTATGGCAGAGAAGACTGGGTCCTCAACAACGAGGGCAATATCCTCAACGAGCTTGGCATCACCGAGCTCATCCGCCATGCCTCGGGCCGCCCCACCATCCACTCCGCTAACCACGAAGGCCGTCTCGTTCTCTACATCGTGTCCCGGATCATCAAACCCTAGAAGCACGGCCACACAATCATGTCCGGTGAGGACCTCAAGCTCATCCACGCGATCATGCACTCGGCCCCAATCAATTGGGCGAAGTTTGTCATGATCAACATGACGATCGCCGCGTCCACCGACCACGACCACCTCCTCCCGTACCCGTTTGTGGTGATGGACATCCTTGAACGGTTCAAGGTAACCACCACCGTTCGCCCGCTCACGAAGGCCACGAAGCTTTGGACAATCAGCAACCAAACCTTCACCAAGCAGTCGAATAACGCCGCGACTGCCACTGCCGAGCCACGCCGCGTGTCCACTGCTGCTGGCCCAGCCGAACCCCAGGCCTGGGCCAACCTCGCCTCCATCGCCGACTCTCTCAACCGGCTTCACCTCAAAGTCAACGGGATGGAAGGGTACGCCATGAACGCGTACTTCCAAGGCATTAACTACGTCCCTCCACCACTCCACGGCACCTTCCTCGGGGAAGTGTACGGTGATGAAGACGAAGAAGATGGCTCCTTCTCCCAGTCAAGCTCCCCGGGCGAGGATAAGTTCGACGATGCCATTGATGGTGATGAGATGGACGTCAACGACGAAGAAGAAGAAACCGAAGATGAAAAATAGGACACCCCTAGAATTTCTATCTCTTTGTTTAACTATCTTGTTTTTTTAATGCTTCTGTTGTACTCTGCTATTTCTCTTTAATAAATAAAATTATCTTTTTATCTTTTTGTTAATGTCAAAAGGGGGAAGAAAAGGGCTATGCATATACTAAGGGGGAACGCCTCTAAAAACGAGACCGTTTTAAGCACAAATTAAGGGGGAACTTTTTAACAATTTTTTGAAAATAAAATATCCCTTAGTATGCATATCCCCGTCTTGTTTGCCATTATCAAAAAGGGGGAAATTGTTGGAACACGGGTTTACGCCTATGTCGTACTAAACTGCGTTCGTTTTTATGACAGGTTTTGAGAATGCCAAACCGCCGTGACATAACAAGGCTAAAGTGAGCACAATCAAGGCGAAGGAACATGGCATGATGATTTGAGAACCAAGAACCAAGAATCAAGAATGAAGAATTAGAATTGCATTGAGTCGGTCTTAATGTGATCAAGACCGGCACAAACTTCCAAATCTTGGCTCTCTAGGCTCATTTCATCAAAATACTTTTTACAAAATCAAAAATGTTTTTCATAAGTTTTAAAATGGCCAAAAACACTTGGAGTTCGCCCAAACCAAGAACCAAGACATCCGGCGTTCGGCTTTCAGAAACCGGCGTTCGTCTTTCAGTTTTCGGTGTTGGTTTTTGGCGTCCGAACCAACCAAGTGGTTTTCAACTTTTTATGATTGGCTTTTACTTCTGGGAATATTTAAATAGTTCTCCAACAAAAACGCTTCAAAAACCATCTTGCGTTTTTGGCCGTTTAGTGAAAACCATGCGAAACGGTGCAAAATTGGTTAGCCGTGGTTTTCAACTAAATGACGTGGTTTTTAAGATGTTTTACTTGATTTCTTAGCAAAATGCAATAAACAAATGTTTTTAATACTTGGTTTTTATTTTGGAGAACTTACATTTTTTACATCGGCTAACGGCGTGACTAAATCAACCATGGGTCTGGCTAAACCAGCCCAACAGCGACGTACACCAACAGCGCTGTCTGGCTTGGATAGCTGAAAACCATGGTTTGGCGTTAAGTCTTCCAACAGCGATGTTGGATATTAGACATCGCTGTTGAGCCAAGGTTGGATTTCTAGAAACATCTAGAACAACGATGAAGGCTTCCCTACAGCGCTGTCCAACCTAAGCCAAAAATATAGTACATTGGCAAAAAGTTTTGGACAGCGATGTAGGCCAAACTTCCATCTTCAAAAGTCAGACTTAAACAGCGATGTTCAAGTTATGAACATCGATGTAGGGACCTGACCGTTGGAAGGAATTTAAGGATAAAACTTTCCTTGTTTGGAAGTCAACAGCCAAAACAGCGATGTAGGGGTACTGGACATCGCTGTTGGCATGACCGTTGCTTCCCAATTTTCAAAATCCAAGCCTAGAAACAGCGATATCCAAGCCTAGGACAGCGCTGTCTGGGTGAATTTCAGCAGATCCAAATTTAATCAAATCCCACAATTTGTGCAAATCACCCCTTAAATACTTTGGTCCGTTGGAGCCTATTTTTCCATTGTAAAATGGGGTGTTTGGGTCTGTTTTACACATCACATTACTTCACAACTCCTACTCTTTCATTGCAAATCATTCATCCTTTATTAATAGCTTTTCGAGAGCCATTTTTCTGAAGCTTGTGTTGTGTTCTTGAGCGTTCTTAGTTACTCATTATCCACTCTAAAAGAGAGTATTGTTCTTGAGTGTTTTTAGTGTTCTTAGACACTTGACAAGAGAAAGTATTTCTCTTGTTGTTCGAAGGAAGGGCTGTTTCCTTCGAAGGTTCGTTGAGGTTCGTGTGACTCGAACTCTCAAGTTGTACGGGTTTGTTAAGCACCGTTAAGCTTAACGAGATAGTAGTGTAGCTCGAGAGAGTCTCTCGGGAGGCTAGATTAGCCACAAGTTGTGGTAAACCAGGGTAAAATCGGTGTGCCTCTTACTCTTCTCTTTTCTTCTCGTTTTCTTACTTTTTATTCCTGCGATTTTTTGATCAAACGCTATTCACCCCCCCTCTAGCGTTGTTCTATTATTCTAACACAGCGAGCAACCCAAGGATTAGAGTAAGTGGTTGCCCTTGGCAAAATGGTGGTACAACACTTCTTACCATACAACCATCAAGATGATCCCTTATGAAGTGGTCTTTAAACAGCCACCACCCATTCAATTGCCATATTTGCCAGGTGTGACTAAGGTGGAGGTTGTAGACAGGTCTATGCAAAAAATGAAGACCATGATTCAAATGCTTAAGTTTTGACTACACAGAATGAAGGTTCAAGCATGTAAGCATAGATGTGAGAGATAATTGAAAGTGAGAGAGTGGGTATGGCTTAAACTACAACCCTATAGGTAGCAGACTGTGCAGGCCATATTTAATTAGAAATTGATCCCTAAATTGTCGTCCCTTTGGGACCGATGGCTTATAAGCTACAACTAGCGAGTCAACCTACATTCATCACACCTTCTATGTGGCTCAACTTAAAACTTTTAGGGGCACCTTATGATGTACCCCTGGATGGCTCCACTAAAATCCCAACCTCTCCCAAAATATCCAAAAGTCTTTTATCTTCATTTGATAATCAAAATAAAGTCTTTACCCTCCTTTTTAGTCTTGGACGAAAATGATGACCAAAAAGACAAACCTTTTGTGTTGTTTTCTATTTCTTTTGTTCCTTTCATTAAATAAGACCTTCCCCTTATTTTCCTACACCTTTCCCACGAAATTTGCTACCATTTTCTTCCCAAAATCAGGCCTAAATACCCACACACAACAAAGGGACAAAAATCAGCAAAAGGTCTTTGATTGAAAAGTAACTTCTTGTCCTATTAATCACTAAAAATAAAGCAATGTTATTTCCTTTTTCTTGCACCCATATGGCCACAATATGCACCTCAAAATAGGCCAAGGAATGCTTCATCACAACCACATAATGTCCTTGACTTATTCCACATATGGCCGAATTCCTTTTGCAAGAAAAGCCAAACAAAATCCACCATCTTTGTCCTAAAATTCAACTCAAATGGATGGTTTTGCATTAATGTTAAACATGTGATTTAGGAAGAAGAAAGGAAGCTGCCATTGTTGTTTTTTTTCTTCCCCTTGTTGTATATAATCTCGGCCATGAGGCCATTGTACAGCAGATTGTATTGAATGAAAAACTTTGTTTACTCTTTTGAGTATTCTCTTAAAATAGTGTGATTCTATTTTAACCAATTTTCCTAATGAAATATCTATAAAGTTGGCTACTTTTGAGTGTGTGTTAGGAGTCTATTTTATACATTAGTAGTGATTATTATTGTTTGAAATAGATAACAGCCCCAAATATAGTAAGAGTGTGTTTATCTCTTATTTATTATTTGGTTTATCCATCCTTGTTCTCTATCCATTTCGTTCCTCTCCATTTTCTCTTCCTAAACCACATTCTATTCTATCTTCATAAATCAAAACACCAAAAAGAACTCCTTCATCACCGCCATATTTACCCAGCCATTTCCAACAATCGATTATCATAAAAGTGATAATCAACTATCGGGCATCTCAGTACATTCGTGGTTTGGAAATCATATCTTGTTAACCAATTATCAGTTAGTGATAATCGACTATCACGCGTTTCTGAACTTTGGAGTTCAAAGTTGTTTCCTTTTTTGCTTCCATTTCCTTCGTAAACCCACCATCAAATTGATTACTTGATAAGACCCCACATCTCGGGTACAACATTTGGTATCAGAGCTATATTCGAAGATTTCCTTAAGTCTCGACGATCACCTTGTGGAACGACTTCACAAACGTACCCAAAAGAAGGTTGCTGAAAATTTTTCCAGAAACTTTCAGCTCCAAAGAATTGAGCACGGAGGAAGATACACAACAGATTTGGAAGTGAAATTTTTCAGTATGAAAGTTTGACGTTTTTGCTACGCGTGGCCACTAATTTCACTCAATTCCAAGTTGTGGTTAGTGAGATACGCCCTCCCGAAGTTGATAGCAGAATCCTGGACGAATTCTATCTACCTTGATGAATTTGTCTCCAAAGAGGTAGCAAACGTTCTTTAATGGCTCCAAATTTTTGATATGTCTTTATGGACGTGAATATCTAGCTCTGAGAGTTGGAATTACCTAATTCCAATCTCCGGTTTGTGAGATATGGTCTCTAAAAGACACCTCAGAAATTTGGAAATTGTCCTTGCAAATGGAGCAATATTGCAATGGGCTACTCGGCGATGTTTCATGTGTGGTGGCTGTGGTCATGGCCACTGGGAATGTTCAAATAAGTATGCCATACCATATGAAGAGTGGGCCATGATTCATGAGGAGGAAAAGAAAAGCTCATGTGACCAATTTGTCAATGAGGAAGACGTCTTTAATATTCTTGTCAAAGATGAAGATGACGTCTTTGTAGAAGAACCGGCTTCTAATGCTCAGGAAGAATCACACTATAATGATTCTTTCCTTATTCATGATGACTTCGTTGAGGAGGTATTTATAGAGGAAGCCACACCGGAAGTTATATATTCTAAGGAAGTGATTTCCATAGAGTATTATCATCTTTTCAATGAAGGAAAATCTTATCTCATCTCTAAGATATGTTCGAAGCAGGTTTTTACAAGGCATGGCATCATGTTCCGGAAATTACACAACGAGGTGTCTACTAATTCCGGAAGGAACCTCATTATTGGTGGTTCATTGAATTTCCCATTTGATCCGGGAATTCTTTTATGAAACCCCAATCAGTCACGGTGGTGCGAAAGTTTGAGGACAAACTTTCTTCGAAGAAGGGGAGTATGATGTACCCCTGGATGGATCCACTAAAATCCCAACCTCTCCCAAAATATCCAAAAGTCTTTTATCTTCATTTGATAATCAAAATAAAGTCTTTACCCTCCTTTTTAGTCTTGGATGAAAATGATGACCAAAAAGACAAACCTTTTGTGTTGTTTTCTATTTCTTTTGTTCCTTTCATTAAATAAGACCTTCCCCTTATTTTCCTACACCTTTCCCACGAAATTTCCTACCATTTTCTTCCCAAAATCAGGCCTAAATACCCACACACAACAAAGGGACAAAAATCAGCAAAAGGTCTTTGATTGAATAGTAACTTCTTGTCCTATTAATCACTAAAAATCAGGCCATGTTATTTCCTTTGTCTTGCACCCATATGGCCGAAATATGCACCTCAAAATAGGCCAAGGAATGCTTCATCACAGCCACATAATGTCCTTGACTTATTCCACATATGGCCGAATTCCTTATGCAAGAAAAGCCAAACAAAATCCACCATCTTTGTCCTAGAATTCAACTCAAATGGATGGTTTTGCATTAATGTCAAACATGTGATTTAGGAAGAAGAAAGGAAGCTGCCATTGTTGTTTTTTTCTTCCCCTTGTTGTATATAATCTCGGCCATAAGGCCATTGTACAGCAGATTGTATTGAATGAAAAACTTTGTTTACTCTTTTGAGTATTCTCTTAAAATAGTGTGATGCTATTTTAACCAAATTTCCTAATGAAATACTCCCTCCGTCCCACTGTCTTTGTCCACTTACCTTTTGGCACATCATCCAATGCACTTCTTTAATCCATTTTATCTTGTAATTTGTATATTAAAAAATTATAAAATTTATATTGATGGATATCGGGTCTGGTAAACCCGATTCCAGGCCCAAATGAAGGCCTATAAAAACCAAAAAAGGGTAAAGACTCAGCTGGAGATAATGGGTCGAGCCCATTATTGCGCATATGGCCGGTAGAGAAAGACGGCCCAGTAATGGAATAAATTAAGGTGACCCAGTCCGAGAAAGGAGTGGGACACGTGGCCCACGTCATTGGGTCATATGCAGAGTAGGAAGAGAACGAGACCGGAAAAGAGGGAATCACAACCCCACGATCTCTATAATCTTTTCCATTTTGTATAATTTTAATTATGATATGAGAAATACTATAAAAGGGGGGAAAACCCGCCATTGTAAGGGGGAAGAGACAATTGAATACACAATCAAAGTGTATTATCGCATGATTATATCTTCTTAATTCATATTACGTTCTTGGTCCGCCATCTGATCGGGTTCATCCCATCATTGGTGCTTTCATTGAGATATATATACTGTGAGATAAGGCTGTGAGATTATGGCCGGACGAAGGACGAGACGTAACCCTGCCGCTTCCGCCTAGTCGACGGTAAGGAGTGACAACCCTGAACAGGGTATGATCGTTCCTGTCAATGGGTTGGAAACGGCACTAAATAATGTGGCTAACATGATGGCCAACATTATGGAGCGATTAGATAAGGCTCTTTCAGGTCCATCCGGTACCCGGGACATCTCTGCCGGGCAACCTCGCCAGGCCCTACGTACTGCGAGCTCTCCTATACTCCAGGAGCTTCATGATCCGGAGGAGGTCGAAAGGGAGAGGCAAGCCATTGACAGACGCCGGGCAGAGGAATTGGCCCGGAATAACAAGGCAAATGAAGGCCGGGTTAAGGATGTAAGCCGGATCATCTGCGGTGGAAACGAGAACCCGCGGGGATCTGTCTTAGAAAGGATATCTCACCAGAAAGCTCACGTTATTGAGAGGCTAGGGAAGAATCCAGAAAAGGCACCTCAGGGTTGGATACGACCCCAGGCCAGCCAGGTGGCATCTTCCAATCGTGAACCCCGGCAGCGAAACGGCCGTGGTGGGAGTCAAGTGCTGGTCCGGTCATTGAGGAATCTGGAGGAGGATGAGGTTCAAGGCCAAGCTAGGGTCCCAGCACCATGTCGTCTGGGGCCGCCGGTGCCGGAAACTGTGGAATTCCAAGATCTGAGGCAGCAGATCCAGGAGATGCAGAGGAAGATAAACAAGGGTCGAGTATTCACTACCCGTACGAATACTCCCCTAGCTCCAGAAATCTTTGCGGAACCATATCCGCAGGGATTCAAAATGCCATTTGTTAAGCATTATGATGGCGAGTCGTACCCCTAGGAACACATAAACAGCTATGTCCAAGTGATGATCGCCGTGGACGCCAGTGACGCACTCATGTGCCGGTGCTTCTTGCAGACTCTTGATAGCAAGGTTGCGGATTGGGTCAACCATATCCCTGCCGGATCAATCCGAACATGGGATGAATTGGGACTACGGTTCCTAGAGCATTTTGCCGGGAACTGCCGTCCCAAGAAGCATTTCACTCACTTGGCTTCAGTGCGACAGAAGCATGGAGAATCTTTGAAGAATTTCCTTATCCGATGGAGGAAAGAGTCCAGGGAGGTTGAAGGAACCGATGATAAATCCAGGTTGGCTATGTTCACCGCGGCGTTGCAGGATGGACTCCTTCACACCGATCTTACTACTCATCCCCCGGATACCTTCGACGAAGCAATGGTCCGGGCGGGGCAATATGTGACCCTGGAAGAAAGAAAGGAGGAGAAGAAAGAGAAGACTCCTAAAGAAGAAGAGAAGACGGGAAATAAGAAGCCGTTCAAGAACAAGAAGCAGGGCTTCCCGGATGGCCTAAAGGGCGCAAGTCCTGGGACCTCAGAGAAGCATAAATCTGCCAATCCAGTCTTCACGCTGCCAGTGGCTGAGGTCATGGCCCATGCTGCACAACAGGGACTCATGACTTACCCAACCTATTCTCAGAAGGTTTGCAATGTGGAAGACACTGGAAAATGGTGTGCTTACCACCGCAAGAATGATCACAACACGGAAGATTGCTATACTTTGAAGAATGAGATGGCAAGGCTAATCCGCCGGGGTCATCTAAAGAAGTTCGTAGAAGATGGTGACACGGGAAATCCCGGGAATGCTCAGAATGGAAAGCGCAGAGATAAAGAAGTGGCCCAGGCTGAGGCCCGGGAGAAACGCCACATTGGTCTTGAAGGCGAAGAGGAAGATTCAGAACCCGCACCGCATCGCCAGAAGAGACACCATGGGTGTAACTTCATCATTGGAGGGAATACTGGCGGAGACTCAGCCACAAGCCGGAAGAAGTGGGCTAACGCAGCAATGGTCAACAAGGTGCTGGTCCCAGAAGGTAAGAAGCTGAAAACCGAGCCAATTGTATTTTCTAATGCTGATCTTCTAGAGACAGGGGTCCCCCATAGGGATGCCCTAGTGATTACTATAGATATAATGGACTTACTTATCCACAAAACCCTTGTGGATACGGGAAGTTCCGTTAATATCATGTATATGGATACGTACAAGGCTCTTGGTTTGACAAGGGATGAGTTGTACTGTCACCCATCAAGACCCCACTGACCGGGTTCACTGGTGACTCTATTGAACCGGAGGGGGTGATAACCCTCCCGGTTGAGATAGGGGATACTAAGGCTACCCGAAAGCTGGACATGGAGTTTGTCGTGGTGGGGATAATCTCCAACACAAACATCATCCTGGGCAGACCCGGATTGGAAGATTTGGAGTGTGTCATCTCACCTCGTCACCTGTGCATAAAATTCCCAACCCCCCACGGAGTTGGAATTTCCAGGGGATCTCAGAGAGTATCCCGGGCATGGTATTTGAAGGCAACCAAACAGCCGGTCAAGTACGATACCCAAGTGGGAGAGGTGACTGCCCAGCTCCTGAGGGCTAAGGAAAAACGTCCCAGAGTAGAGGTTGCCGGCGACATTGAAGAAGTGGAACTGGAGCCAGGCACGCCGGGCAGGTTGGTCAGGATTGGTAAGGGCCTGGGGGCTGAACTCAGATCACGAGTGATTTCAGTCCTTAGAAGGTTTAGGAGGGTCTTTGCATGGGGTCCAGCTGATATGCCAGGGCTAGATCACATGATTGCAGTTCATTGCCTAAATGTTCTGCCGGATGCTAAACCAGTGAAGCAGAAACGAAGGCATTTGTCGCAGGAAAAAAGAGATTTAGTGAAAAAGGAGGTAGCAACCCTGCAGAGCATTGGGCATATCTGGGAGGTGCAATACCCGGATTGGTTAGCAAATGTAGTCCTAGCGCCCAAGCCTCCTTCATGGAGGATGTGCGTCGACTACACAGATCTGAATAAGGCATGCCCCATGGATCCGTTTCCACTCCCCAACATTGATCAGATGGTAGATGAGACTGCTGGGTCGGAGTTAATGAGCTTCATGGACGCTTTCAGCGGCTACCATCAGATTCGAATGCATCCGGCTGATGCTGAGAAAACGAGTTTCATGACCCCAGAAGGGCTGTATTGTTACTTGGTGATGGCCTTTGGGCTGAGAAATTCCGGAGCGACCTATACCCGTATGGTTTTGCAGGTGTTCATGGCTGTCTTAGGGCGGACCATGGAAGCATACGTTGATGATATGATTGTCAAGTCCAAAGAGGCCCGAGACCATGTCCGGGACTTTGAAGAGGTCTTTGAAATCATGATGAAGGTAAATCTGAGGTTGAACCCGAAGAAATGTACTTTTGCTGTTCAAGGTGGGAAATTCATTGGGCACATGGTTAGCCGGAAAGGAATTGAGGCAAACCCGGAGAAAGTAAGAGCCATTATGGAGATGGAACCCCCGAAGACAGCAAATGAAGTTCAGCGGCTAACAGGGAGATTGGCGGCCTTGAATCGTTTCCTTTCAAAGCTGGCAGAGAAGGCGCACCCATTCTTTGCGGTGATCAAAAAGAGGGCGACCTTCGAATGGACATAGGAATGCCAAGAGGCATTTGAAGAACTGATGAGATATCTCGCAAGCCCGCCGGTTTTATTTAAGCCGGAGCCTGGAGATGTTTTGACTCTATACTTGGCAATTGCAGACTGTCCCATAGGTACTGTGATCGTAAGGGAAGAGCATGGGGCTCAACATCCGGTTTACTACGTCAGCAAGACCCTGAGAGACGCGGAGTTAAGGTATTCCCGTCTGGAGAAAGCCATGTTGGCGGTCTTCTGGACAGCGAAGGGATTAACTCCGTACTTTCAGGCTCACCGGATTGTTGTGCTCACTAATGAGCCTTTGGCGTCACTTACCCGAAGCCCGGAGGCATCGGCCCGGATGACCAAGTGGGCAATCTTTATCAGTCAGTATAACATGGAGTTCAGACCGCGCCCATCGATCAAGGGGCAAGCACTCGCCGACTTTCAAGTTGAGTGCACCGCCAGAGAAATGACAAGAACCCAGGTTGAAACCCGGGTGGAAAAGGACTGGTGGGTAATGAGCATCGATGGATCTTCTGGGTCTCGATCTTGCGGAGCAGGTATCGTCTTGATCACCCCAGAAAAATTCCGGATTTATTACGCTATCAGATTTCAGTTCCGCGTATCCAACAATGAAGCTGAATATGAGGCCCTGATCAATGGATTGAAAATTCTCAGTAAGATGGGAGTATCCAGGGTTCAGGTTTACAGCGACTCCCGATTAGTGGTGGGACAAATCACGGGGGAGTTTGAAGCAAAGGAAGAGAGGATGAAAAGGTATTGGGATTTGTCCTTAGAGATGTTGGGGAGGTTTGAGTTTAAGCTTGAACATATACCCCGGGCCCAGAACGCGGAAGCCGATGTTCTATCCAAGCTCAGCGTAGAATTGCCGGAATACATAAGCAAATTAGCAACCGTCGAAGAGCTGGTAACCCCAAGTCTTAACAGCAGTGAGGTGATCTGGGTATCAGCTGATCCCCCGGAATGGCTGGACCGGTTGGCCAAATACATTGAGGACGGTGAAGCCCCGGAGGATCCCCAAGAAGCACATTTGTTGCAAATGAGGGCACCTACCTGCAAGGTACAGGACGGAGTCCTCTATAAGCGATCTTACAACGGTGTCCTACTCCATTGCCTCAGGGCAGCAGATGCAAAGGCACTGATGGATGAAATACATGAAGGAGTATGTGCTGCACATCAGGGTCCTTACTCCATCTCCAGAAGGGCTATTATCCAGGGATATTTCTGGCCAACGATGAGGAAGGATTGCGAAGAGTATGTACGCAAGTGCCCGACCTGCCAACAATTCCAGAATATACCTGGGAGGCCAGCCACGATGGTTACATGCCCATCAGCTCTGTGATTCCCTTCTCAAGATGGGGGATTGATATTGTGGGAGCCCTGCCAAAAGGAGCTGGGCAGGCAAGGTGGATTGTGGTGGCGATAGACTATTTCACGAAGTGGGTGGAAGCTGAGCCACTTGCAAGGATCACCAGAAGGCAGATGATCGACTTCGTCGGAACTAATATACTCTGCAGGTTTGGGGTCCCGAAGCAGATCATATCGGACAATGGAACCTAGTTTGAGGAAGCAGAGTTCTAAGACTTTCTCAAAACTTGGGGAATTCAGCATACAAAAGTGTCTGTTGCCTACCCTCAGGCTAATGGACAAGTGGAGAACGTTAATAGGACAATCATCGACGGAATAAAGAAGAAGCTACTTTCAGAAGGAAGTAAATGGGTAGATGAACTACCCAGAATCCTGTGGACATACAGGAGGACTCCAAGGAGAGCTACGGGTGACACTCCTTTCGGCTTAGCTTATGGTTTCGAAGCCCGGGCTCCCGCTGAGGTAGCAATCCCCACCAGGAGAGAAATGGAATATGACCCGGAGGTGAACGAAAAGAATCAGGCCGTAGAACTGAATTTTGTAGAAGAGCGAAGGGATGAAGCACGGATCCGGGCAAAGAATTACCGCCGCCAGGTGAAATCTTACTTTGATAACAAGGTGAAACCAAGGGCGTTCCAGGTGGGGGATTACATTCTGAGAAAACGAGAGAAGAGCCAACCAACTAAGGGTGGGAAGCTGGCTAAGAAGTATGAAGGACCTTATATCATCAAGGCCGTTGTGCGCCCAGGTACCTACAAGTTGGTGACTCCCAAGGGGAAAGAAATTGATAGAACATGGAATGTAGAGCACTTGGTCAAATTTTATCAGTGAAACCATTTTGTAAAAATGCTCTTTTTTTAAATTTAAGATGTTTATTTCGGTGAATTGTTCTTTACTTTAAATCCAAGTGCCTTTGCAATTTCCTTGTTCTATAGGTTTCTTAAAAAAAAGGGGGGGGGGAGAGCACCCCCGGGCGATATAGACCCGCAATACAGGGAGGTAGAAAAGTTTATGCCACCTGCTAAAAATAGGGGAGGTAGATAAGTTTATGCCCCCCCCCCCCCGGAGGTAGAGAAGTTTATGCCTCCGTCGAAAATGAAGGAAGGGTTGGGATTGGACTTTGAGGGCCATTACAACTTGGAGTTCAGGAAGAATAGCAAGCAGACTTCGAGGGCTGAAGCTTAGTATTCCACTAGCACAAATCAACCGAGCAAACAAACTTCGAGGGTTGGAGCTCAACTGATCCAAGGTAGATAAGATTATGCCTTAACCCGGAGGAAGGGGAGGCAAGGGGCAGATGAGATAAGTTCCTCTGGCATGCCCAGACCCCGGGAGATGAGATTTTATATAGAAAATGAATTATGTACTTGCATTCAAAGAGGTACAAAGAAATGACTATTGAGGACCATATTGATGGGCCAAAGTTTACATTTTCTGGTTCACAATAAAGGTACCTAGTAAGATAAATAAGAAAAGAAATTAAGGGAGTTCATCGATTGCTAATTCGGAGACTGTGTCTTTGAATTACAACGATAATTCCTAATCTGAATTTGAGGAACATTCCTCAGTTTGGGATGCAGGGAAAACTCCCTGACCAAACAGACGAATGCATCTTGGTACAAAACAAAGAAGAGAAATTTGATTTGCAGGGAGCTAGGAACTGAAGAAGGGCTTATTGCATCCATGCAGTCAACAAAAAGGAGGTGGGGGACCCTTCCATGGGCTCCTTCTCTTTCGCGAGGGACACGTTGATGAATCAACAGTTTCCCGTATGTCATAGTCTTCCCACGTCCCGGGACCGGGGGCTGCTCCCTTCAATGAAGAACCATTGTTGGAAGACTTGAACAGGTTTGGAGAAGCAGTCCGGCTTTCACATGAAGGTTCCGCCTCAACAGTTGGCAAAGAACATCCAAGTTTAGCCCTGCACATCCTCTGGTACAAGGCGAAGTCTTGAAGGGTCATGGAGTCCCAGTCTATCCTCCCGGATGGAAGCCTGGGTGGACTAGGAGGAGATGGTGTAGGAAGGCGAGGCGCCGGGTAGAGTCTCGAGAACTCGCCAGGACTCAACCCAGCCATGTCGTTGGATTGGGCTGGAGAGACAGAGAAATCATCATCCGAAGAAGAGGATGTCCCAGAGAGGGTTAGGTCGATGACGACTTTACTTTCAGACTTGCTTGCCATGGCGAAGAAGTCAGAAAGGGATGGACTAGCAGCTAATTATCCCTTCCCATTTATAGTCAAAGGGGAAGGGATGGTTGGGAAGTGATGAATGCGGTTGGAAGACGTGAAAGATCAAGTGATTGGTGAAGGAAACGGTCAAAAATTTCCAATGTTTGACTAAGGGTTTCTCGCCACTTAAGTGCATGAGTCGGTTAATTGGGCCCATCTGCGCCTAGAGAGTGACGTCATCCGTGGAATGTAAGGAGTTAAATTGACTTAGACTTCTACTCCATGCAGATGAGAGCACGTGCAACAAAATTATATTAAATGACAGGAGATAAAGGTTTTTCCATTAAATAGCTCAAACAGAAGATTACATTCTTTTGGGTTACAGTAATGGGCCTTATCTCTGATCTAACCACAAAACGAAAAAGAGATGGGAGATAAAGATTTTCATTAAATAACTCAAATAGAAGATTACATTGTTTTGGGTTACAGTAATGAACTTTGTCCCTGATCTACTTCTATCTTACTACGGGAAAGTTGAAGGCAGAGCGAATCGGCACCTCCGAAATCTGAAGGAGTGCGGTTCCTCTGCCTGAACCAGAAAAGAACCCCAGAGCGGGGGAGCATGGAGAGTGTCCGCCGAAGACACTTAATGACATTCACAAGAAGCGGAATGGTACCAATGGGTTGGGGATTAAAAGCCATTCCCGTGGATACCATCCAGGCATTCCCATGAAGGTGGACAGAGAGGGCGCTAGGGCGTGAAGGAAAGACTCCATGCCTATCTCCGCTTATACGGGAGGAGGAGGCGGATCCCGGAAGGCCCCATCCTTCTCCCTCCGTATAGATGTGAGCCTGTTACCCCCCATGTCGTAGTCCCCCCACTCCTCAGGCTGCTGTCCATATGACTGCTGAGGGGAGGGAGAACCCTGGGAGGAAGACCTCGCACCAGAGACCGACCGGGAAGCTCCTGAGTGAGGATTGCGTCTCTTCTGCGGACGGGACGTGCCAGGACAGCCAGAAGAGACTTCCGTCCTGGCCTAGTTTGGAAGCATGCCGGAACCTGGGAAAATATCCCCGGATACCCGTCGGGGAAGACGAGGGTGATTCTCCTCCCTGGGTAAGGGAGAATTCACCGACTGTTCAGAGGCAAGAGAAGACCAGAAGAGAGCTCAGGTGTTGGAGCTCCAAGTGAAGGGAATGCCAACGAAGAAGAATCAGAAGAAAAATCAGAAATAGTAAGATCAATGAAAACAACTCTGTTGGTGTTATTAGCCATGTTGAGAAGTGATTGTGATGAAGGAGGGGTTCAGCCTAGTCCCTTAAATAGGCGAGTAATCCCAGAGGAGAAGTGCAAGGGACGCAGAGTCAAAGCACTTATCCGATTGGGAGGCAGTTGCGGATTCCCGAGGAGAGCTAGGGTTGCATCATCTTATTATTGGGCTAGGGCGAATTGGGCCTCGTGTAATTAAGGTGGGCTAGTCACTTAGCACAATAATAAACAAGAAAGACAGTACTTGGTAAACACAATTAAGCCCAAAGCCTAGGCGGATAAAAAATCTGCTAAGTCCTAGGGCGAAACAAGAGTTCCAAAAGGGAAACAGTCAGATTAATAAAAGGAATCTATGCGAAGAAAATACATAAAGTGTTATCAATTGACTACCGTCTAAATGTTACAAAGTAAAATACAGCAGTCAACAAAGGGGGAGGAAGTCAAGGCCCCGGATCTACACGAGAAGCTGGGGGAGAAAGAGGAAGAGGTAACCCATAGTAAGAAATGAAGTCATCCAAGGATCGGTTTTCTGGAGACCACTCTGGACCGCCTCATAGATGCATTGTTGCATGTCAAATTTCCCTTCTTCATACAGGGCTTCAGCACGAGCAGTCAGGGTGGCCACCTCCTCTTGATGGGCGGCAATTGCCTTCTCCAGTTCATCCGTCTTTGACCGGAGCTCGCTTGCCGCCTGTCTCTCTTCCTTCAACTTCTCAAGGGTGAGCCGTCTCGCTTCCATCTATCTCAGGGCGAGTTCATTGAAGCGGGAACCCTCATGCTTGGCTTCTTGGAGGGAATTCTCCAGCTCAGAGATCCGGGACTCCTTTACAACCAATTTAGCCTCCAGACTTCCCACTTTGTCTTCTGAAGCCGAGGCCCTTGATTCCAGGATGGAGATTTGCGCCCGGAGCCTGTCAAACTGCGCTTCCAGATCCTGGGTTCCTTTTTGATAAACAGCAATTTGCTCTTGTAAGAATTGGACCCTGGACCTTTCAGCTGCTAGTTCCGTTGAGCCATCTGCCTTGAGCCGGGCATTCTCTTCCTGGAGGACCTGGACTTGTTGCTCTAGAGAATCAACCTTCTGTTGTAGAGCCCTGGCAGTCAACTCCTTCTCCTTCAGGAGCAGCACGGCCTGGTAGTTTCCTAACGCCCCACCCAAGTACTCCTCGGTCAAAGTAAGGAGAGATTGTTGGGCCTAAGGGAGAAGAAGAGGAGTCAGGAAAGAGATAGCTTAAAGAGGTGAAGAGATTTTTGAAAAGAAAGAGTACCTGCTCCATGAAGTGCAGAGCATTGAGGGCAAGCAAGTCGGGGCGAGCCTGGAGAATTGCAGGCCCCTGCACGGATTCCCTCATCCTCTCTAGATTGGCTTGGATGGTCCAGTGGGAGGCTTACATGGAAACCAGACCGTGAGAGAACCCAGCCCATCCTTCCGGGAAGGCGGGGTAAGTTTGTGGTGTGAACTTACGCCGGATGGGGATATTGGGGGCTGGGAGCGTGGGCGTAAAACACTGTCCCTCCGGCTCCGGTCGCTTCTCAGTCTCTCTTTCCATTTCTAGAGGAGCTTCAGTATCCCTCTGCTCTCCAACCTTATTCTCCTTCGAATAGGTGATTTCCGTTTCTATCTGCGCTTCAACCTCCCTCTCTGCTGTAATGGAAGGATCCGGTTCTGTCCGCCTCATCCCTTCTTCCTCCATTACTTGGGGAATGGTTACGGCAGGTGGAGAGGAACCGGACGCCTCAGTCTGGGGCTGCGTTATGGGTTTTCTGAGCGCAGACTGGTCCCTAAGCTCTTCTTCCTCACAATCAAGTCTATCCGGGTGGGATAGCTCCAAAACCCCAGATGCATCAGCAGCGGTGGTATTCTGAGTACCCGAAGACGTTGACAGGGGGCTGGGCGAGACCGAAGTACCGTCACCCATGTTCTTCTTGGGAAGGAAATCATCATCAGTGACTCCTTCCCGTGGCCGTCTCTGGGACGGGGTGGGTCTTCTAAGCCCGGGAATGGCAGATATAGGCACGGCTTCCAAGGCAGTAGCCGGCTTGTGGATAGCTAAGGCAGTGGAGTTGCCTTGGGTTTGATCCCTGGAGGAGCTCACAGCCGGGGTAGATTTTGCAGCAGGAGGAGCCTTTGGTCTTTCAGGGGAAGGCTCCCCTTCAAATGGAAATGGGTCAGGACCCAGGGGGTAGTAAAAACCCGCCTTCTTGTACAGTTGGGCGTCCTGAAGGGAGTGGTGTGAAATGAAACCTTCCTTTTCTCTCAGGGCATTGTACACTCCCTCTGCCAATTCTGCAGCAGCAAATTTTGTCCGGGAAATGGAACGCCGGAGAACAACACCCGGTAGGTCAAGGGGACTGTGAGCCGGGAACTTTATGACGAAGTACCTCAATGACCATTTCTCATGCTTGAACTCGACCTTCTCATAAATTGGGAAATGGTTGTGGGGATATAAGCTGTAGAAGGGGAACCCACCAATACTGAAGAGGATGAGGAATTCATCCAAACTCGGGGTTCTGTCCAGGGCACAACACCGCAAGATGTAGGACGCAACATACTTATGCGCGTTGGCAGTCAATTGACCCGGAGCAAATCCGAAATGGAGGCAGAGATCACGAAGCAGACCGTGGAGGGGCAACCTAAATCCATTTTCCACGGAGTGGTACTGCATGACCATGTATTTTTGGGATTTGGGTTGTAAGATAAACTGATCCCCCCGACGGCATCGGGATGGTGGACCCAGAAGCCCTTGCCCAGGAGCACGGACATCTCTCGAAGTTCGTTCTCCTTGATAATGGAGGGTCTGTGGGTCCAAGTTTCAGGATTTGGAGGGGCCATTTCGGAAAGAAAAGCAAGAATTTGGGGAAAGTGCAATCGGAATTCGGGTCGGGTTAAGATTCAGTAGCGAGAGGAAGAAGACGAGCCCAGAAGGGGTTTTTATCTGTTGAAAGGATGGACCCGAGGTACTCGAGTGCGACGTTTCTAATCCAACACGAAAACCGAAGGCGGCTCATCATTAGTTTTCTAGCGACACGTCGCCAGAAAACTAGGGGGCTTGTGATGGATATCGGGTCTGGTAAACCCGACTCCAGGCCCAAACAAAGGCCTATAATAACCCAAAAAGGGTGAAGACTCAGCTGGAGATAATGGGCCGAGCCTATTATTGCGCATATGGCCGGTAGAGAAAGACGACCCAGTCATGGAATAAATTAAGGTGACCCAGTCCGAGAAAGGAGTGGGACACGTGGCCCACGTCATTGGGTCATATGCAGAGTGGGAAGAGAACGAGATCGGAAAAGAGGGAATCACAACCCCACGATCTCCATAATCTTTTCCATTTTGTATAATTTTAATTATGATATGAGAAATACTATAAAAGGGGGGGAAACCCCGCCATTGTAAGGGGGAAGAGGCAATTGAATACCCAATCAAAGAGTATTATCGCGTGATTATATCTTCTCAATTCATATTACGTTCTTGGTCCGCCATCTGATCGGGTTAATCCCATCATATGTATTAATAATCTATATGTTAAGATGAATCAAACAAGATCACACATGACTATTTTTAGGCTTACATATTGAGAGAATTTGATGAGTCAAAGTGCTTAGATGAACAGTTCCAAAAGTCAAAAGTGGACAAAGACAATGGGACGGAGGTAGTATCTCTAAAGTTGGCTACTTTTGAGTGTGTGTTAGGAGTCTATTTTATACTCCCTCCATCCCATAGTATTTGTCCACTTTCATTTTTACACACCATCCAATGCACTTCTTTAATCCATTTTATCTTGTAATTTGTATATTAAAAAATTATAGAAATTATATATTAATAATCTATATGTTAAGAAAAATCAAACAAGATCACGCATGACTATATTTAGGCTTACACATTTAGAGAATTTGATGAGTCAAAGTGCTTAGATGAACAGTTCTAAAAGTCAAAAGTGGACGAATATAGCGGGACGGAGGTAGTACATTAGTAGTGATTATTATTGTGTGAAATAGATAACAGCCCCAAATATAGTAAGAGTGTGTTTATCTCTTATTTATTATTTGGTTTATCCATCCTTGTTCTCTATCCATTTCGTTCCTCTCCATTTTCTCTTCCTAAACCACATTCTATTCTATCTTCATAAATCAAAACAGCAAAAAGAACTCCTTCATCACCGCCATATTTACCCAGCCATTTCCAACAATCGATTATCATAAAAGTGATAATCGACTATTGGGCATCTCAGAACATTCGTGGTTTGGAAATCATATCTTGTTAATCGATTATCAGTTAATGATAATCGACTATCACGCGTTTCTGAACTTTGGAGTTCAAAGTTGTTTCCTTCTTGCTTCCATTTCCTCCGTAAACCCGCCATCAAATTGATTACTTGATAAGACCCTGGGTCTCGAGTACAACACCTTACCTCATCAACCCCACATTCCTGAGTGGTGGCAGTGCAGCATTTGGTACAATGGGAAAGGTAGAACAATGAAGATGCTTTTGGAGAGATTCCAAGGAAGTGGAGCAATAATTTCCAAAGGTTTCGTGTCACCAATAGGACAAGAAATGCATTATGGTTGATGGTTGTTTTTGGTCTTGAGAAGGAGGATTGTTTTCTTTATGGGGGAAGGAATGTTACAGCGTAACTAACTACGAGCTCAGTTGGAAGTCAATTAGGAAGTTAGTTACCTTTGTTAGCCTATAAATACACCTCTTGTATTGTATTCGTGCATATTTGTTGGTATAATATCAATTTCCTACAATCTTTTTCTTGATGTCTCTAAAATCTCTATTCAATTTTGAATTTGCTAAATCCAACTATAAAACCATCCTCGAAGGATATTCTTCATCTATGATACTCCCTGCATTGGCGTTACAGAACTCGCCATTGCTCAACAAGATTCGCCATTGCTCAACAAGATTTACGAGAACCATTATCATCACAAGAGATTCGTCGCCCTCGTGCGAACCCGTTAGAAACTACATCGAGGTTAGTTTGTGTATCTCATCTAACGTTAGGAACTATTGGTTGAATTTACATTCGTAATTAAGAATTGTGGTTGATGTAGATCGCATGGCAAAAGTAAAAAAACTCATGTACGTCAATTTGCTCTTTTTACGTTAAACAATACGAAATAGATCTTAAACACACCAGAGACTTTAGCAAGCGGGGTTACCGCGGCCATGACAACTCTTCTGTTAGCAATGGATATGGATATTTGTCTACTTTCCATTTCGTGAACAATTGTGTTTTCTTTTTCTTGGATTTGCCCTTACTTTTTTTGTTTGATGTAGCATATTCTAAAAAGAAAAAACAAATTCAAATCATGATTTTAAAAAGGAAGAAGAAATCTGTTAGATGTTCTTTAATTTTTGAAAGTATAGAAATTGCAGATCCAAAAATGAACCGAACCGTACTTCATCTTCCTTCTGCCTTTTCCCTGGTCAAGCCAAAATGTAAATGAACAAAAACACCGAAATGGAGAAGACTATTTATACTCTCTGTACCAAAATTGTCAAACTATTTTAAACAAAGTGCAAAATTTATTTCTTTTAATATGATTTTCTTTACAAATCAATATGAATATAAAAAATACAACTTACATATTTAAAAATTACATAAAAAGATTTACAAAAGAAAGCTAGTGGCATATCCATTTTATTTTGAAAAATGATCCATGAAAATGCACACACAAATAAAAGTTAACAGAAGCTTGAAATAGGAAAGAAGACTAATTTTGAGACGGAGGAAGTACATATATTGTCATTAACAATCAAAATATTACATCGCCCATTAAAAGTTGTGTAGGCAAAATAGAGACTGATTGTGTATTTATGTAGAGAAACAATTCTAGGAAAAGAATACGTTCCTTGGGGAGGAAAGATGCAGAGTGATAATCACAAGACACAAAAAGGGATAAAATGAAAATAAAATATTACTCCGTAGTTACATGTCTTATAACGGCGGAGTATAAGTTAGTAAACATTACTAACCATATCAATTAAAAGACAGTAAAGTAAGCCATAAGCAATGCCACGATAAATATTGCTTATATATGTAGGGAGCATCACATTGAAAGATACAAACCGTTGATTCAATCGATAATCCTATTCATCCTCTGCTATGCTATGCTTTTTGCATCCAATAAGGAGTGGTTTGGCCCATTTCCAAATCGACCATATTTCCAAACCAATACAATACGTGAGATATTGTATGATTATTGGAGCAGTTTTTTGTAATCCTGAAAGGTTCCATCAAAAGGCTTCACCCGGCCTTCCGATACAGCCCACAACTGCTCTACGCTTCCTGATATTAGATGTTCATCGTGACTTACCTGCACACAATTGATAAAAGAATTACTAAGGCCAGCCATGCCATGATACTTTAGCCATAATAAAATCAAGTGTTAATTAAGGGCAGATTACCATCAGAACACCTCCTTGGAATAATACGAGTCCTTGTATTAGTGCCTCCACAGCATCCAGATCCTGCATGCCATTGTAGGACCCAAAAGCCCCACCCAGAATGTCTTATCATTTGTTCACGCAATATCAATGCATTACAGCATACAGAGTATAAATTTAAAAATACGCATAAATTTCTTTTCAGCTTTGAAATTGATTGGTAAACATCTGTCAACCAAATTATGAATTGAAACAATGTAGCCTAATAGTCTAAAACACATGAGGAGCACACGATTACATGAATTACCAACCTTCACAACTAAACACACAATAGAGCATAACAAAATCATAAACAATAAAGTACCAAGTGATTTGATGGCTCATCAAGTAGTAAGATGTGAGGCTTTTTGAAAGTGATTTTTGCGAATGCAACTCTGCTTTTCTGACCACCTGAAACCATGTAAACAAAATTAGCACAAAACGTGAAACAAAGGTTAGGGTTTAACATTTCAAGGTTTTTGAAACTGATTTCCAAAAAAAAGAACTCTGCTCTTTGAATCCCTAAAACCAAGTAAAACATCAGTTCAGCCCAAAATGTAAAGACTAAGGTGATTTTGGATAATCACTAGGAAACTAAACATAGATGTGATTGCTAGAGCGATCAAAGAGAGTGCCTTGGGGTGTATGCTATTTGTGGAAGGCATTGAACTTAGAGTGCTTCTATGGTGCACCTTGGGTGCATACCATTTATGTGGACCTTCTCATATAAAAAAATATTTTTTTTATTAAAAAAAATAGATGCTTTTAAAGTAGTAAGAAAATGCTTATTTTGCTCATATGTAAGTCCATGGTGGACCTTAGGTCCACCATAGAATTGGCCTTGAACTTATATAGTTCAGACGAGGGGAGGCGTAAACGCAAAGCATTAGGAGTGAACAGCAGTATTGGGGGCTAGGCTCATGTATTAGCTACACGAATATTGAATATCTTCGTCGCAACTTTAGCACGAAGCACACCAAGAAAGATGTCGAAACCAGATTCGTGGAGCAAAAAATGCCACAAAAGCTCAATTTCCGGTTCAGTCGCGAAGAAAATGAAATTGAGGATGATATCACGCATCAGATAAGGCCGGGATGCTTAATGTTGAGGTCCTGAGGACTACTGGGAAGTGCTTTGAGACAATAGGCTCAAGTTAAAACCAAGGCAGTCAAACTCAGGTCGGGTTAGGAATTAAAGATCCTACACACAAACACAAATCTCTTAATCACATTCAATAACATAGAAGAGAAAGATGAAATAACAGGGAAAACTTCTGCTCAGTTCTGTGACTTCAAGGGACGATTTTGTTCATAGCATATAAGCATAGATATATATCTGAGTAGTACGGATTAGTAGTTTGAAGTAGAAAGAACCTGAGAATCTCAAAGATTTTTTACAGGTTGCCAATGCAGTCACGCAGTTGGAAGACTTTGCAGAAAACAAAGGGAGTATTCTGTTTATATAAATTAGAGTTCAAAGGTTTACGTTTGAAGTAGAATAGTACATCATGAGAACTGAAAGAGTCATCTTCTCATAAATAAAAAAAATAACGGGAGGAGTTGCAAGTCTGTTGAATTTCTGAGATTTTTTTCAGGTGTTGAATTTCTGAGATCTTTTTTTGCGAGTATGTTGAATCTTGTATTGTTTTTCCCCTTTAGTCGATGCTTCTTGATAGCTTGCAAGAGCTCGAAAGACTGAACAGTGATTTTACAAACTAACTCGTAATTTTACTACCTTGGATACAAATGAAACGCCAATTCCAAAATAAGGTCATCTGAACAGCTCTGTTGTATGTCGTTTAGTGTTGAGGAATAAGGAAAAAGAACTTTGCTTTTCCTTCCAACTTGGTGTCTCTAGCTTGCATACCATACAGGAGGCATGTGGGCTAAATGAGTCTTTGTGGGCAACTCTCATGAGGAACAAATACCCAAGAGAATTAGATATTGAATTTCAAAATCTATGATTCCCCCATTTGGAAAAGAAATTATGTGGAGGATGTGGCTGACAAACACCTTTGCCTAGATGGTAACAACAGAGTACATTGGTTCACAGGTGACCTTGACTTGGACATCAAAAGAGCCACCAAGAACCTGAGAAGAAGAAAAGATTCTATCCATTTTCTCACCCACTCTTGGAAACCCACCCACCTACCCAAGATCTCAATCTTCCTTTATAAACTATACCACGGCTACCTTCCATTCCCAAATAAATAAACAAAGATGGGATTTTCCGTCCCATCAGTTTGTTCCTTGTGCAGGTCAGGCGAAGCCACATTAGGACATATCTGGAGCTACATTGAACAAATCCGTAACATATGCAAATCATCGAGCCACAGAGTCAGAAGCTACATTCTCTATTAGTGACGCACGCACGCACACG